TATAGTTTTTTTAGTATATATAATTTTTATAATTATTATTTATAATTATATATAATATAATTATTATTATAACAAATTTTGTTCATATTTTATATTAGGCGGAACCTATAGATGTCGTAATTACTGGTGCTGCTGGACAAATCGCCTACTCTCTATTGTACCAAATTGCAGCTGGTACAGTTTTTGGCCCAGAACAACCTATTAATCTTCGATTATTAGATATTCCACCTATGATGAAAGTATTAGATGGTGTGGTTATGGAACTGGAGGATTTAGCACTTCCTCTGTTACGAGGTGGACAATGAAACATTTGTATATTTAAAAATAGTTTTATAAAATGTATTAAATGTAACTCAATACTTGTTACACATATATTGTACATGAATCACACTAATCGTACAAATTGTAAATTATATAAGTAATTTAATCATAATAGCTTAATATATATATGAGCAATCATGTCTTAAAAGAAGAACACAAGGTAACTGCAAGAAAAATAGTTTTTTTATCATTTTTTGGAAGATAATCTGATATGAAAAGATTTTCAACATCTCTCAATGAATGTGTTGTATTTTCGCCAAATGTGTGCTATTTATATTCTAATGGTATTATATAATTATATGTAAATAAGTTAATTTAAATTTGTAGAGGTTTTGCCAACAGCCGAACCAGCAAAGGCCTTTAATAATGTAGCAGCTGCTTTCTTGGTTGGCGCAATGCCTAGAAAAGAAGGAATGGAACGTAAAGATCTTTTGGCTGCAAATGTAGAAATTTTCAAGGTGCAAGGCGAAGCATTAGATAAATATGCTCGTAAAGATGTTAAGGTGTTAGTTGTAGGTAATCCTGCTAACACTAATGCAATTATTTGTTCACATTATGCACCGTCTATTCCAAAAGAAAATTTTACTGCAATGACTAGATTGGATCAGAATAGAGCACAGGCAGCATTAGCTGCACGATTAAATGTGCAGGTAAAACATATTCACATACACATAACACCCTTATACCCTCTACTCACTAACTCACTCATTCCTTAACTCATACTATTATAATTAAAATTCTTGAGATGTTTTTGAAATGTACAGAATTTGATTACACATGCAGTTATATTCTTTTCTTACATTTTCCACATTTTTATTATTTTTATTTATCATACAATGTAAGAATATATATATTTAAGCTATTATTATATGTATAGTATTATGTTTTACAACATTGTGTAATCTTATATAAATATTATTTTATAATTTTATTGTAACATAACAGGTTGATAAAGTCAAGAATGTCATTATTTGGGGTAATCATAGCTCCACGCAATATCCTGATGCAGCACATGCAACTGTAACGCTTTCATCCGGTGCAAAAGCAGTATCATCTGAGATTGATGACGAATGGTTGAATAATATCTTTGTAGCAAAAATTCAAAAACGCGGAGCCGAAGTAATAGCTGCTAGAAAAATGTCTTCTGCCATGTCCGCCGCTAAAGCCGCTGGAGATCATATGAGAGATTGGTGGTTTGGTACTAAACCTGGAGAATGGGTCAGCATGGGCGTTGTATCTGATGGAAGTTACGGGATTCCAAAAGATATTGTGTTCTCCTTCCCTGTTACTATTAAGGATAACCGCTATGAAATTGTGCAAGTAAGTTATTTCATAGAATATTTAAGCCCAAATATACACTATACAAATAAATGCCAAGTAACACTTTTCCCTTTATATTTTCTATCTGTGCATTCTTTTAAAAATCCCGAGATACTTTATATATCAAATGAGAGTTTTGTATTTTCATGCAAATAGTAATAATGTTCCTTTCTAATGGTTTTCCTATATTCAAATCATTAAAAGCAAATATATTTTTATTATAAAAAAATAACAAAAAAGCTGGATACTTAACAATTTTTATTTTCAGAATCTTCCAATTAGTGACTTCGCAAGATCAAAGTTAGATATCACATCTAAGGAACTAGAGGAAGAACGCGCAGAGGCAAACAAGGTATTGCAAAAGTGACTAGTAGTGTCAGTGCAAAATAATGAAATAAAAAAAGAGGAATTTGTGTTAGCAAAATTGTAAAAAAGAAAAATTGCAAAAAAAAAAAAATGATAAGATTACACAGATAAATATATAAAAATGTTTCAGAATTTGTAAAAACATTACAGCAGTCGCGAAAATATAAGTGATAAATATGATTTTCAAAACCTAGGTTTTTAGAGGTATAAGAATTTAAAGTTTGATCAACAATGAGCTATGATCGAAGTTCTTTATTTAAGAATCGCGCGTACGATCGCCAAATAAAAGATTACACATCAATATATTGCTGCAATGCTTTTATACTTGCATATATTTTAGAATACTGTATAATGTGTGTAATTTTCAATGTAAATACTATATATAAAGAATTTAAATAGAAAGTAACTAAAATTCTCTCTTAACTGTGGATTATCAAGTGAAATATAAATGTTATGTTTACTATCATAGATTGCATATGCAAGTCATCAATGTATATGTACATATAATCTGTAGACTTTGTAAAACTTATAACAAAAGTATATTGGAAAACATACCTTAGCACTTTTTTGCTTTTATTCACCTTCGCCCAGGAGAATAATTTATTTTACAGTAATGATAATTTTTAATATCAATATCATTATATATTCAATTTTTCTCACATACATTTATATTATCTTCATGTATCTTACTTTCTATTATTACATTTCGAGCTTTTTTCTATTATTATAATTATCGCGTGAACGCACGCATTAAGTAGCATATTATACACAAAGAATGTTTAATTTATTCGATCTTGGTAACATTCTCAGTAAAATATCGCAACTTCTTTTTCGTTTCATTTAAAGATACTTTTGTTTCTTTAAAAGTTAAAGACGATACATAAATATTTAGTTAAGAAGCAGATATTTAGAAGCTGTGAACATTGGTCTAGGTACTACAAAACATCTTTTTTTTTTTCAATATCATTAATGAAAAATTAATATTTTATAAACGTCAATTTTGATTTACATTATTGCATAAATATTTATAGCAAGTTATTTGTTTGTGTAATATATGCATATAATTTCATAATAAAGAAAATAGAAATTTTCGTAAAATTACCTTTTATACAATAAAGAATAACACACGCACATTTCCAATGAAGATAATATTCCAATGAACATTGATCTATAAGTGAGAAACTTCCGAATTTTTGTTGCATGAAAACAGTAAATATATTCAAAACATACTTGCAAAAAAGAGTGTTATAAAATACTTAAATTGTGAATAATTTTCAAATTGTGGACCAATTTTATAACAGTTTATACAATCAAATAACTAAAATATATTATTTTCAAATATCTTTTAAATGTTCAATTGTTATACAACACGCACACACATACAGCGCACGTGCGCACACGTCCATACATATACGCACATTTAAACAAATTATTTTTTACTTACAATGTACAAGAAAATAATACATCTGTCAAATTATCATTAATGTAATATATATCAACAACCACTGATTGTAGAAATCCGATTAATAGTTTGCAAATTGTAAGTTCAATAATAGATGATATTTATAATAAAATAAAAGAGGATATTCTCTAATATAATTCACAGCAGGATTACATTAGATATAAATATGTCCGTTTCACGCATTGAGCGCATAGATCGCCTGGAAATCTATAATATATGTTACGTGAATTATAGATTTCCAGGCGATCTATGTGCTCAATGCGTGAAACGGAACGCAGCCCTAATAAGACCGTTTACTTATTTCTCCATGATATATGCATATATGAAATATTACAAAGATTAACATACAAAAAATTAATGTGATTTTAAGAGAGCATCGGATCAAGCATTGGATGATGTTGGATGGTTATATCATGGATATATCATTTAGTAATCATGGATTTTCACTGATATAGCACAACACATTTATCGATAAATAAATTTTTCTCAAATAAAAACAATTTAGGAATATGTGTAATTATTTTACATTTAAATTTACAAAAAAAGAATGTATGATAACGAATAGATGAAACAGGGAGCTAGAAAAAATATATCCAATGTGTTTTCAACTAATCTATTTTACAGCAACATCCGTAATTGTAAGCACTAACTTAAAATGTCATATAAAAATCGCAAGTTTATATCTAGTTTAATTATAACAACCGATATTATAATTAATATTATAATATTATATATTATATATACATAATATTATAACATTGGCGTGAAACTGGTGTTTACACAATGTATTAAGTTAATATTTACATCTAACTATGGATGTTACTGTAAACCAGATTAGTGGGAACATGTATATAATCATTTCTGGAGAATATGTGTACAAGTATTTCTGCAGAAATAAAGTTTCTGTCCCTGATAAATAAAATAAAATAAAATAAAATAAAATTATTATTACAATAAAGGCCGTACTTTCTTTCTCTCTTTCGTTTCTACGTATATGTATCAATCCGCGCTAAATTATAATTTTTTATTTCTTCACATTATTTAATAAGAATAAATTTAATCTTAGAATAAGAAAAATTTTAAATTTAATTCAAATGAAATCCTCTTTCTCGGGTAGCAGCTAAGAGTCTTTCTTTCAGAATTTCCTCAGTAGGATATTCTGGTAATTTTAAGTAATGAACACAGGTGTTAACAGAAGGATAACCACCAGAACCAGCATCCACTTTCCGTACGACAGTTAATCTGGGATGTAAATTACATAAACCTCCTGGAGGTAGAGCCGAACAACCAGTAGCAAATTGTAAGAATGCTTTTCTTTCCGAACCAGTCAATGATAATAGCACGTTGACAAATCTTTGGAAGCCAGGACTGAAAAAGATTAAATAAAATTTATTATTAAATGAAATAAAATGTGTATGTGTATGCAAGCAATATCTATCATGCATGAGTCGGTTAAACCATCATCTATTTTTTAGAATAGTATTAACGGATTATTTTCATAAGTTTAATCAAAAATATATTATCGATACTCTGTCTTACCTTTCTTTCGTGTATCCTAGTTTTGGCTCGGTATAATTGAGCAAATCTTCTCTCGTCCACTGCGGATTCTGTTCCCCGCAAAGCATTGCCCGCATTTCCTCTGGACTAAAAACGTGGAGTTTTTCCATCGGAAAGACTTTTGAAAAGCCCAATTTAAACGCTTCGAGTTGCCTATAAATTCCCTGATTAAGGCAGTAATTGATAGTAAGATTAGTGTATTCTTTTGCATTTTCTATCGTTACTGCGATATCTGAGCCACCTTTGACTAATTCCACATGATCGTGTTGAAAAACTTTCGAACTTGGTGAATATGTCATGGTTAATGTTAAATCCTCAATAGCCACTGAAGTACCCGATGGATGAGTAATGTACAATGACATTTCTTCGTCAGTGGAATTTACACTATCGGAAAAAGTTCTATCACGTTTAGCAATTGCATTTTGTATCTCTTTCAGAAATTCTCCCCTTACAGGGTCCACCTCTGCAAGATCTTCTATATCTAATAAACCAGCATACCATGGACAAGGTTCTAACGATGAGTACGCGGCTCTTCCGATATAAAGCTACTAGACATGCTGGATGACATACTGTCCTGCGTAATGCCAGTAAGACCGATTTTCTCATTGACATTGTTCGAAATATCACCGCGGCACATTAATTTTAAGAATGGACGGGATAACGGTAGATCTACTAATCTATTATCCTGGAGAACTTTTGCTAAGAAGACTCCTAGGAACCAGAAATATCGAACAGCACGATCGCAGGCTGCTGAATCTTGTGGTAATGGGGCCGGGAATAAGCCACTGGCTCGTGTCACGTAATATCCCGCAGACCGAATTCTCTCTCCAGAAATACATGTTTGCTCTTCATTCAAGATCTGTATGCTATTATCGTCGGCGGCATCATCACATAACCAAAGACTTAAATCTTTACGTTGCAATTCCGCTGCAACTAATGCGAAAAATTCCAAAGTTGGTCCAAGACCGGTACCTTCTTCTCCTACAAATGCGACTTCAAGTATACTCTTACGGCTTGCATGTACCTAGAGAAAAAAATAAAAAAATGAAGAAATAAACGTACATTAATATATATGGGGCATGGTTTCTTTAAAATACAATTTTTACCTTCAATACTTGTTCCGCCCAATCTAGTAATTTCTCTCCTCTAGGTACACTGACTCGTTCATGCTTAAGCCTGCCGACACGAAATTCATGACTATCGTCCCGTCGTGGGCTTAAACCTGGTGCTCTTTGTCTTTCAAGGATCGCATCTCGCTGCGTTTGTAGCCATACAATAGACCGTGAAGCACCGAAGGCAGTGCAACTAAAATAGAGTCGTCTGGTTTCGAAGGGTAGCAGAAACGGACAGCTTCGTGCAAGTTCTTCGCACCAATTGGGCAATGCACCAGCAGCTAGAGCCAGTGGATCCTGAATCTGCTGCACGATCTTATTTGTGATTTTCTTGGATGTAAAGTCATCTGGATGAAGCCAATAGGTTGTATCATTTAATTCTTCCTGTTCTAATGAGGTACCGTCGTCCCGACCGGTGCTCAAAACAAATACATGTCTCAAAAGCTGCAGGACATCCTCCATAGTACACGCGTTTGCACTTTGCGTAAGGTTACGAGAATATAATGTTACGATCGGTGTTGCTCTACCAGATGATTCCTCGTCTCTAGCTTCCTTATATATTATGCTATACAAAAAAAAAAAAAAAAAAAAAAAAATTAGAAGAGAAGAAACAATCAAGTTACAGTTTTCTCTATATAATGTGTCTATGATTTCTATGATAAATTGACAAAAATTTAAACATTACGTGTAGGTTGGTTCCCATATCCTTTTCAATTTTTCTTGACGACTGCCCAATTCAGTTAATTGCATTAGTTCCTGGACCGCTTGAAAAATACTAGCGTGCGGATCTGAAAGCGGTATCTCAATATCCGGTATACCTGGAAAACCTGGTCCTTTCAAAGACAAGGAAAGTCTAGGCATAGGCAATGTTCCTATGCGGCTATTAACTTGCGCTTCGCTGCCAGGAGGAGGAACTTCCAAATCCGTTGTCTATTGCGGAAATACTTTCAATTAATGTAACATTTTCATAAGATTAGTTCTGTGTATAATTTATATTACTTGCCTGATTAATGTTTGTTCGGCCAGGACGTGGATCAAAAGCAGGAATAAGAGCAGAAAATTGACGCTTCAACACAAACTCGTCATCCCATGCACGCCTCTTGCTACTCTGTGGTGCTTCTTCTTCCATAAATGCTGCCAAAAGATTGCGACTTACCATTACTTCTTCGTATTCGCCTTCGCAACCGTCACCTTCTTCCTCATTTTCTTCATCTTCTTCCTAAAATGTGTGGAACGTAAAGAATATAATAGTAATTATATGACTTGTTTTATATAATTTTTATTAACACATTTGTCATTCTATCATATTTCTATCATGTTTAGTTGTAAAATTTTTATATACTTGTTTATATATTAAACGATATCGTAATTAAAAAGTTGAAAATCTAAACAAGTACATAAAGGACAGTAATTTTAAAATAAATCACAAGTTGTGCGGACACATATGTTCAGACTAAATCGGGTTGAACTTTTTCTTAGTGAAAATATTGAGACATTAATTATATTGTGCTATACATATAAATAAAATATATATATATTTTCTTCTAAAAATCCCTTCAATTTTACTTTCAAATTTTCGTCCAAGAAAGAAATGAATTTTAATTGAAGCAAAGAGATGTCTGTATAATTTTTAAATTTATCTTAGAATTATCTTGTATGATAAAAATGCTGCATATATATATAATTACCTCTTGATCATTTTCTTCGTTATCTTCTTCCTCCTCCAGAACACCATCTTCGTCATCTTCTAGTTCAGTCAAAAGCGTAGGTCCGCCGGTAGTACGACCTCCACCAGCGCTGGAAGTTGCTACACCTCCGCATGATTCCAAGAAGTCCTCAAGACTGACCTACATCCATACATAATATCGAAATTTAACAAAAAATCTCCAAGAGAGAACATTTTAACAGGAAATCCACACATTTAAAAAAAAAAGGAGATGTTTACCTGCTCGCTATCACTACTTGTACTAGTCAGAGACATAGTAAGCGCTTGTCCTAAGCCTGGTCCTGTTGTCGTGGTGACACCACTACCAGCTACTTGTCCACTACTCGTCAAGCTTGGATAACTTTGCGCCGTACTAAGTAAACCACCGGGAAAATTTGGACTGAGCGCCAATCGTACGAGACTAGACACAGAATTTGGTCCTCGTGGATTAGAACTCGTACTAGAATTTGAAGCAAGATGTTGTCCACCTGTAGGTCCTACAAACGTATTTTCTTCTTTAAAAATTTATATTGTTTGCCATGAAAGAAATGTAACAATATGTAATGAGAATTTTGCAAAAGTTGAATCATCTATCACATATAATGTATATAACCGAAAATGTATAATATTTAAGAAATATTTTTAATATAACATTCACAGAGAAAAATATACATACGTTATTACAAATATAGCTTGTAATAATAAGCATATTCGTTAATATATAATAATCTAATTTAAAACAAACCTAATGTTCGTCTTCGCGCCATTGCAGCGAAAGTCTCCAATAAACCAGTAGCAGCTGTTGATTCCAAGGTATTGTTAGCATCGGAACAAGCGAGATTAGGCACAGATACCGACATGGGATTGGTAACCACAACAGGACAATTACCCGTTGTATTTTGTGTAGATGAACTAGCTTCTTTCTCTCGAGTAATACAGTCTTTAGCAACTAATTCGAAAGAAATGTATAAATGTAAATGTAATAAAACATATATTATTAGCAAGAGGAAAGGAGATTAATGTACAGTCACGAATTAAAATGCGGTCATGTATCTTCCACATACAAACATGATAAGAGATTTAATAATTTTACACAGGTTTGATTTAAATATAAGCATTATAGCAATAAAACATGTATTATTGCAACAAAAAAGTTATATATACCATCTGCAATTCCTGTAGGATGATGCCTCGGTACAGATTTGATCCTTAATGAGTTTTCATCCGATTCGCCAGAAACGCTGATTCTAACGGGAACTAAACCAAGTAATTCACCGCTCAGAAAACTGTTAGTATTGTTGCGTAATCTGTCAGCTCCCTCTCTCATACGATCCAGAACCTCAGCAGTTTCTAAACTCAATAAGCCTCCGCTAGCCTATGTTACATTATTCATACATTAGAATTCATATCTCAACAGTAATATGTTCAGGTGTCTACTCAAATCTTGTAAAACAATTCCCTGTTCTTCCAGAGTATTTTTGTAATACATTTTAAACATATAATTCACAACTTGGCTTATTGACAAATTACTGATTGTTTACAATATAAAAGCAAAATTTAAAAACAATGTTTACCCTGTTGGACAATGTTGGACCCTGAGTCTCCATAAAATTACATAAGAATTACCTGATTTTTTTAAGTGCAAAAGAAATCCCTAAGAATTTCAGATTTTTCATATTTTTCCAGAAAGTAGATACTCTAATTTTAAAGATAGTAGAAAATTAGCAGAAGTACATAATTTTTACCTTGTTTCCTCTTATAGTAGCAAAAAGTGGTTTTGAACTGGATGCTCGATTACTAGTACTGTTAACCGGACAATCCGTATTAAGAGTGAGACTTTCGACGATAGTAGCTAAATCACTAGTAACGGCTGTATCCGGTCTGGGATGCAATACAACTGAGAGTTCACCTGTCGAGTTTGCTCCACTCTCACCAGTTACGGCAACCACTGCCTCGGCACGGGCTACCGATAACACACTCTCGGCTATCGATTCGGCAGCTTGCTGCTTGTAAAAAATATCAGAAAGAATGAATCTCATGTATTACATTAATTATTCTATTTCACTCTGTATGAAAACTTTAATTCTGCAAATATGTATGTAATAAATAAATAATAAAAAGAATTCTACCTTCGCCGCGAGATTATCCGCACTTGCAGCTTGATCGGTGGAAGCTACCGAACTACGCATAACGGTATCAGTGCAATCGGGTAAACTAGGAGTGCTATTTGATTTCCGACCAGTTAAAACTCCTCCACCACTTTTACATTTCATTGTACTGTCTGTCTCAAGACTAGTGCCGACTAATCTAAGATCATATTTTCCTTCCGCACCCATTCTATAAGAATTTGATCCACCATGATCCCACGTTACGTCTATCCATCCGTTATGTAATTCTCCCGTAACTGTGCCTTCACCTATATCAAGACATTTATATCAAGTTAGTTATTTCTTTGCAGTTTTATAATATTGTTTAACATGATCGCTTATCGTTAAACGCTGATGTTGTTTATCACACCTGTTACTACAAGTATCAATCTATCAATCTTTGTGAACACACACTCAGCATTCAAGTTAATATTCTCACATACCTGGTGGTACGCCGTCTTGATCCCTCCATTTCCAATCTAAACCTCTAGCCACTCTAACTCCCGCAATTAAATGTTTAAGAACTTGCGTTTTAATAAATCTTCTTTGTTTCCGTACACCGGCCTCGGCTTCCTTGGCTGCACGACCTAAATCTTCGCATACTCCAGTAACTTCTCCATATACCTCAAAACCAGATACAGATAGATAATGTGTTTGTCCAGAAGCATTCTTTCCAATTTGTTGTAAACGTAAATGCCGCCAGCCTTGTGTCTCTTCACTCGGTGGTTCTAATGTCCAGGTAGCTGTACTACCTGGCTCGTTTAAAGAACAATCGTCTACATGAGCATATAATGTTATCCACGTAACGCCGTCCTTTGATGCTTGAAACATCCAATTCCTCAAAGCGCTTCTACCGTATCCTCTCGCGTGTCTTAAGGTGTAAGCGTTAGGAATTATCCAAACTCCAAGATCAATCGAGAACCATGCGCGTTTGTCATCATTAGTATGACAATTCAATGCCGATGGATCGCGGCTGAGTATATCCTCGAGATGGCCATACGGTAAGTTTCTTCCATCGCTCGATGTGATGACAACTAAACCATATTGACCTGGGTTTACCCATTCGGGACAAGTTTTAGCATTTGTACCGATCCAATATAGCAAACCATTTTCGTCAAAATCATGCTGATATTTGAATATTATTCTATTTTCTTCCTTCAACTTTTTCACGAATGTAAATGTAGATCTATCATGATCGTGCCATTGCTTAGCTACCATTTTTAATAAATGATTCTCTAGCTGTTGTATCGTACTTAATGGTTCCATTTTTAAGCTACGACCAGATCGATCTATTAACGCGCATTCGCCAGAAGCTTTTTCCAATCGAAAGCGTAATCTCCTGGTCAGAATCTGTGAGTAAAACAAAATTGAATTGAAAAACACACAGAAAATAATATATAACAAAATTACATGTGCAGAAAAATTATACGCGCAGTGATACTGCAAAATATACCTGTAAACCGTAGCCTGATCCAGGTGTGTCATACAGGTATACAGGTAATTTTTCTATCGATTCTAGGACCGAAACCAACTTGTGGACTAAAATTTTAGCAGAATTATGTTCCTTATTCGTGTCTTTTGTCTGAAAACAACTATTAAACACAGTTATTCTCTGCATCCTAAGTTTAGTCGCCCTCAATGTTGGTGGTGAGGGTCCAGGAGGTGCAGCCAACAAAGCGAGTAACGCTTGCACAAGACCGCTGGAGTGTAATTCGTATGCAGATACTCGACCTTCCTCATTTAATAATACTTTAAGTTGCTCTAATGCGGATTGCAACACATTACGCCACTCACGATTTCCAGATTGTTGTTTCTGAGATGCTTTCTCTATTTGACTAACAATGGTACCAAGCTTAGCAACTACACCCCGTGGTTGAGCTTGAGCTACTTTAAAATAACGTTCATATATCTCTTGCGCTTGCACTTTGACTTTTTGTTTAATTGCTTCAATTTTAGATCTCAATCTTTTTCCTCTTTTACCAGTCCAACCTGCTGCAAATTCTGGACCTAAATCATAAATTATATAATGTAAAGTTTTATAAATAAATCCTAATAAAAAGAAGTAAGATTAAAATAACCCTAAAGTACAATAATTCAGTATTTTTCTCATACCTAAACTTGTTTCTGCCGTGAAAGAGTGCTTTGTACCTCTGTTTGATTCAAAAATAAAACCTGGCAAGTCTTCTCTTAAAATAGTTGCCTGTTGTTGGCCATCACTATTATGTATACATAATTCGCTCTCCTTTCTACTGGATAATGCCCAATTTCCTACAACCAGCCGTGTAGTGCCAGGTCGAGAGAGCACAGGCTGACTTACAAAGTTTACTTTTAACTGACTACGTGCCCTTTGCAGTTTCTCCAGAAATTCACCACGATTTTCTGTAAATTATGTTAAATTACATATTTAATTAATGTCAGATCAAGTATTATAGAATGGAATGTATGCCATTACAAGACAGAGGGAGGGAGAGAGAGAAAAAGAAAGAAAGGAGAAGACAAGAGAGATAAAAAATATGCTATAAGTTTTATATAACATGTAAAATGTAAGAATTTATATATATATATATATATATATATATATATATATATATAGTATAATATGCGAGTTATTACACAAATAAAACATATAACCAACCTTCAGTAGTAAGCGACTCTGTGTTCCTTCCTTTTCCTGTAGGCAGTTAGTAAAACCAGTTATTTTTTACATAGTTCCCCTCGCAAAAGTTAATCACAAATAAAAAATATAAAATAAAGTAAAAATAACATTAAAAATGTAGAGAGATAAAAACAGCACTTTGGTAAAAAAGACAATGGTAACAAAATGAATAATATATGTGTGCAAATGTACAGTTAAGCATGTATATATGCTCACCTGATGTATCCGTCCCACCTTCCGGACTTCCGCTGGAATACATAGTTGCCAATTTGCCGTCAAGAATAAATCTAAACCATCCGTTGCTCCCATTCGATAGTTCTAAAGCCGCTGCATCGGACCAAATGTATAAACAATCACGTCCTCTACATATACACCAGTCTCTCCAATGATACGCTCTACCTATTAATAATTCTTTCGCATCTTCCATTCTTTGATCATCTCCTGATTGATTTGATTCTGTTTCTGGCTCAGGTGTAGTTTCTTGTGGTCCGGCCAAAGCGGCAACTTTTGAAAATACTCCTAAACGTGCGAAATGTTCTAAGAATTCCTCTTTGCCTTTAATCATCAAATCTTGTATCATTTGCAGGACAACTAAATGACCGTCCTCATCTTCCTGTTAATATTAGAGAACACACACAAGTTTTTAAATAGTTTTAAATATAAAGCAAAACAATATTAAAACGATCACAAAACAGATAATAAAAATATTTATCTTTCGGAAATATATATAAAAAAAAGAAAAAGTGCAAAATAATTTACTTTTATTGTAAAAAAATAAATAAATAAAAAAAATGTTTATTTTGCAAAACTTGCACATAATAAATACAAGTATAATATGCATTTTTTTTTAAATTACAATTTGCGGAACTGCTAACAGATCCCACCAACGACAAACAGGCAGTAGACAAAAATAGATCTAATACTTCGATGATTTTATCAAAAGATTAAGATTTTTTAAAGTACATTCTTCCATTTATCTTTTTCACGTTTCAATCAGTTGATTAATTTATAAATTATGTATTTTCTTGTAAATCTCGCAATAATAATGAAATTTATTGTTGCAATTTCTTACAAGAATGCTATAAAAATTATCAGGAAAAGCATCATTGGCATTTTATAATTATGAAACTAATTGGATTAAGACTTTGAGATTAATTATATTCAATTTCTTAATAAAAATAAACGCACACATTAATATATAGATCTGTAATTCTATTGAATAATATGTAATATCCAAATGGAGACATGCGTATAATAAGTATGTTAAATTTCACGCTCTTTAAGTATATTACATTTTATTATAAACGTTAATATGAATGTACATGTAAAATCTCGACGCAATTATTAATTTAAAAAAATTAATGGAATCTTGCAGAATTATAAACAGCATGGAAAGGATTAAAGGGCTTTCGCGAGCGATGGGAATATGCAATAGACGTTACCGTCTTATCGAGAATGTAGTTGCAACAAGACTTGCGAGTCGTAAAGCCGAGTAATTTTGGACCAAACATCTTAAAAGCCATAGGTGATGATAATGGCGCCTTTATTTCAAGTTCCTGTGAAAAACCTTAATAAATCACTGATATCGCCAATCAATATGATTGTCTCTCTGCCTGCATGCATGTTGGGATCTTTAAAATCTTTTGTGTGCAGGAATATCTAATATTTTTTTGAGGAAATAGAATTCTGTTTTACATACATTATGAACAATTAATGTGCATAGTTTTATCGTGTTGATTTTGGTTATATAGGATTTTTATATAAAAAAGAGAAGGGAAGAGATAATTTCTCCCACAGTTGATTAATACATAGAGGGTAATCCTTTATAAAATAAGGTATATAGTAAAATATGTAAATTTTAATATAGCATTCTCTCTTTGTGATATTATGTGTATAGTGCAAAATGAACAATGTTTTTTAATATAAGTAAGCGCAAAACACTATATATTGATACTCTTGAAAAATTAGATATCACACTTACCTCATTATCTAAAACATTGGCAATTACTTCTACAAGCATAGCTCCACATCCCCCGGTTTTGTCAGATCTACAGGTTTCTATAAGCAATTCTGGTTGGATGTAATGCACCATTTTTCTGATCAAACTTAAACTCGCTTTTCTAACACTCGGTAACATAGTTGACTGAAAGGTTGCACAAAACACTGGCAATAATCTTTTTAGATAAACAGGCGCCATTTCAGGATCTCCCTTAGGTTCTGTAAATTCTTCTATTTCTGTCTCAAGTTTTCTATGTTCTTGACTCGGTGGTAACATCCATTCTCCAGGTGACTGTAAAATGGCTGCAACTTCTCTGTGTCCTTCATCGACGCGTTCTCTGGCTTTATCCAAAGGTGTTTTACCATCTTCGTCCCGCAAATCAGGATTAGCACCGTGTCTAAGTAAAACTTTGGCAATAGCTGGTCTTCCAAAACAAGCTGCATAATGTAGACTGGACGATCGCTGGCCCTTATTAACATCTGCTCCTCTATCGCACAAGAATTCGACCATCTCTTGCGTACCGAACGCTGAAGCCCAATTGAGCAAAGTTTGCCCAACATCATCCATAAAATTAACTTCAATCCCACCTGTATCAATTGCTTCTATCAAAGCATCTGTATCTTTTGAGCGTATGCAATCGATTAATTGTCTATGTGATTTTTCTCCAGCGCTATCTAAACGTCTCAATCTTGGTAACAAAGGACCAGATGGACCACCGGTAGTGTTACGGCCCAATGCTAATCTACCTTCAAATAGTAAGACTAATAGAAGATCTATTAACCTCATAGAATCGAGAGCGCATCGTTCGTCTCCTTTTAGTGCCTTTTCTATTGCATCTGGTAATTCCGAACGTAAAAGATCGTGCGTAATTGACGGCGATCCTCTACAAAGTGTCGATAAGAGACTAATTATGGTCGAAACAGAAGCACAGGATTTTGGTTCCGGAGCTGGAACCGTAGTTATGGTACTAGATGGTGGTGGTGTTTTTGGATTGCTGCAAGTCGCCGTAGTGGATGTGCCAGGTCCTGCTGCATTTGACAACCTAAAAAAGAATTTGCATGTAAAAATATATACTATGTTAATATAAATATAAAAAAAAATCATGCGCATACCGATATAAAAGTTCAGAAACTAATCCATTTGATGCTAATGGTGCAGGATCTGTTCCCCTTCTGGAAAACCTGTCTGCCAGTGATGCAAAGCAACGAAGTGCTCCGTCTGCAACGTGCGCATCCTCGTGTCTGAGTAACACCGATAGAGCCTCAACGCAATCGGGTAAAGCCTTATCTTGAGGTTCAACTTTGCCGCATAGACGCGTAACGACTGCCATTGCCGAATGCAACGTGTCCCGATGTACGCGCGCTCCGTGTTCTCGGATGAAGCACAACGCACAAGGTAGACCACCAGCCTCGAATACAGCGCCTGCTTCTCTCGCGCATACAAGTTCTAATACCTGATTTGAAATATAAAAGTAAGATTTGATTATCTTGCTAATCACATTTTATGCGATATTTTTATATGCGTGAAATTAATTATACCTTTATACATTGTTCTGCTAAATCCCGGCTGGCTCTAGAACCAAGTCCAGCACCAGAAAGTCGACTGCAAATAGCCTTCACCGCGCCTTCCATAGCAACCACTCTGCGCGTACATTCCGCGGAAACATCCAAGTAATATGTAATAGCTCGAGCAGTCACTTCCAACACACTGTCTGGCACTAATTCATCCAGAAAAATTCTGCAAAGTGCTGGGAGGAATGTGCGCGGAGGGCAACTATAGAACATAAAATATACTGTGTATCAATATCATTATTTACATGCAATTATTTTATTATCATTCAATAATTATTTTATTTACCATTCAAAGCAACGATCAACATTATCGGACATGAGTAACAGCATGCACAATTGTTCTAATGCAATTAACTGCATGTCCCTTTCGTCTCCTTGCCCCATACTGAGCCATTCCAATAAAGTTTCAGGGTCGACATCTGCCACAAAACCATATACTTACTTAAAAAAAAAAAAATTTTATTGATATATTTGTATAACTATTGTAAGTTGATTAAATTGAAACTAAATTAAGATACTTAACTAGTTTGTTCAGTGATTTAATAGTAAGTTGCTACTATATGTTTGTATAAATACAGCAAAAATTTTTGATGGGCCACTATAATGGTTGCTATGTAATAAACGCAAATGATAAAAACCACTATAGTTCTTTCTGATCAGAATTAAATAATTTAAAAAAAGGATTTATTCATTAATATCAATGACTAAATTAAGCAAGCACATGATGTTAATGTTATCGCAGACATCTATTGTGTTCAATCGTACGATGCAAATCATAATCTATGCAAGCTTACAAATACAAGCTATATATTTCGTGTTGTAAATTTAAGATATTTTTTATCATTTTGGTGTCTTGTTCTTTTTCTCTTTGAAGATATACGCTAACTCCGAAATCAAATGCGACAGATATTGAATGTCATTACGCGATATAAATAGCGAAAAATCAATTTGATTCGATGAAATAAAGACACGTGATTGTGATGTATCAATATTTGTGCCCAACAGTTATTACGACTCAATCGTAATAAAGGTTGAAAAAAAGGTTGGTCGCAACGATCGTAAGATACATGATATGATTAATAGATACGTAACCTTTAATATATATGTGTCTTAAAATTATTTGTCTTAAAAAGACAGAGTTAGGACAAAGAAGTCATAGTATGATTAAAAAATAATAGTGCATTTTGACAGAGATATACAGACATACCTACCGTTAAAACGTACCGTTGCATACATTCCATTCTTCGTGATAGGTCAACTCGCCATTCTCTCGCAGACGTGTCGTTTACTAACGCGTGTGAAAACAGATATAGATCGTCTATTTATTTCGCCTGTTAATAATACAATCTATATTTTGCATTGGTGGATCGACTTAACAAAGCGCTTTCTCACACACTACGAATAATTTTTTCTTTATATCATCGTCGTATACGTCACATATATTTCTCGTCTCTTTTTACATACCTAACGTTTAATTTCGATATAGATTGGAATCACGCAAATCGGTACAGTTAGCGAGCAACAAGCCGAATTTTCATGTAAAACTGAAAGCCATAGAGCCACAGTTTAACTAGTTACGACATTAACCTGAAAATCAGGTATAAAATTCCAGTGCGCATGCGCGTAAAATTCAACCATTTATGTGGCAGTCTGCCAGTCTTTAATCTCAATTTTTAATGCCTAGATTAATACGGGCTTATGATATGGCTATAGCACGATATTATGATTTGTAAAGTATATGGAAAGAATATATAAAAGACTATTATATATTATCATTTTATACATACATATATATAATAAATTTGAAATTTTTAAAATAAAAGTATACGTTTATATAATTATACAAATACATTAACTTTTATTTTATTTTATAGGAATTATTAAAAAAACTAAATTAATGTAATATTTTTCAAATAAATTATATGTATTTAATAATACAATTTAGTGCAGTCGTTACATATTTATCAATCATAATTCATCTTTATAATATGGTGTATTACTATATAGAATTATAAAATAAATTTTTTGTAGTTTTATATGTTCGAAAAATATACATTCATATATAAATTTTCTTATTTGTACATATATATAATCTATATATATATTTAATTATGTGCGTTCGCGCGCGTGAGGTACGATTATCACAATCATGTCATGCAATTTTTGCTTACCATCGATGCCATCATTCAATGATTACATAAAAAAAGAAAAAGAAAATATATATCCAAATATACGATACACAAAAAAGATATATAGAGAAATTTTTTGATAGAAATTTGCTAAGTTATAATAAATACAGAAGCATGACCGAGTCGGTTAAAGAAATACAAAAATAATAAGACTAGTTTAAAGTAAATGGAAAAAAAAATATGCACATATTTTTATATGAACCATATTAAGTGGATTTGATACAAAATCCACAAAAAAATCGCATAATTTCGAATCTGATTCGCGAATAAAAATGTATATCACCAACTATACGTCATGCTAAATCGATAACAAGGGAAGTTTATAAATATAAAAATGTAATATAGTTGTAAATAAAAAAGAAATGTTTTTGATGAAGTCTAGAAATTTCATATATCGAAGAAAAAGAAAAAAAAGCTACTAAAGAGAAAAAAAAAACAAAACAGAAACGGAGAATAATAAATTGCAAAAATAATACAAAGTGTGAGATTTCTACAAATAAATCTCAGTGTCTAATAATATTTCATATTTTTGTCACACATACATGAAAATTTTTCTTTGCTAATTGCAAGTGCGCGCGCACACATAATACTGTAACAAGAAAAATTTTTTCAGATTTATAAAAAGAAAAGTCAAAAAAATTAGAAAATTTTGAAGAGTGCTAGAGCAGTCCAATTATTGAAAAATAATAATATTAGTAGTACCAAATTATCTATGTCTAATTTTGCATACTTGCAATAATTTGGAATTTTTCTATTAAAGAAAATATTCACATCAATTTCTAAAGAAGATAAAATGATGCAAATAATTTGCGGTAGAAAAAGATATTTGTAGTATCTGTCAATTATCTAATCTAATAGATGCATATTATACCTGACAAAGCATCGAGATCTTTAATTATATAAAAAAATAAAGAAAAAAATATTGAAAAAAAGAGATTACCTTGGTCACAACGTATTGGGTGTGTGTATACTATATATACATATACAAAGTGTTAACAAAAGTTCCTTATCTAAGAAAAGAGGAATTTTTTACTCCAGAAATATTACTGTTGTAATAGTGCCTTAAAACTTTTGTTAATGCTTTGTATATCAAGAGACACGCGCTATATATAAACACGCCTTTCCCTATTTTCTTTAAAATTATATATTTGCCGATCTGGCAAATGCTATTTGCAAGCGCTTTTCAAAGCGTCTATATTTGACATTTTTGACTAGAATTGTATTAAAAATTTCCTTCCCTGTCTCGTTCACTTTCTTTTTCTCATATGCGTTTTTTGCGGCGTACAGGATTTTTCTCCCAAACGAATTGCGTTATTTATCATATAATTCCGTCCGATTTGTCGCTTCTATGTATGCTGTGTTTGAGCGATATGCAGAAAGAAAGATAATTTATCGGTGCAGTGGTGACCGCACATATTGCACGTATAAGGATCATCGAAGCCATGACAACCCATATGCATAGTATACATGACAACGTTACCAAACGTGATCTCGCAATAATGACAAATGTGCTCGATGTCGATCGAATCGACAATGGCTTTGCCCTTGCTGTCTTTGATATTTTGATTTTCTTCCCGAAAGACGGGTTCACTAATTGTCGAAGGTTTGGGGGATTCTACTTTCTTCTGTTCTGGTTTCGTGTTCTCTTCCATCGCGCGACGTTCCAGTTTCATAGCTCTACCTTTGCGTTTATTGGTGCCGATGATCTTATGTGAGTTTGTAGCTAATAACTGTAATTTAAATTGATTTTTTCCGATTACCTCGGCGATGCGGAGATCCAACGGTGCATCTGTAGACTCATCTTTTTGTGACTTTAGTTGAGTTTTTACCGTCACAAATGTCGAGGATTCACTAGTAGTTTTCACATTATCGGAAATATGAAGTTTATTAGCATCATTTGGATCGAAACAAGTTATAGGCAGATGCTGGACATATTCCTCAGGCATTTTCATGATTTTTACGTACTCCATTAATGTATTGGCGTGGGCGTGATTAATTTCCTGCATATTTTCGTGAAATTTCGCATCCTCGCGAAGCAAAAGAGGGTTTGACAAGTTAAACGCAGCAACCAAATCATTATAAGGAAACTCCATGACAGATTGGTTCTGTTTCATGCTATTCTGCATTATCGAATTTGCATTATTCATTTCATTCACCGTGGTCACAGTTAGGTAATGAGCGACTGGTGATTGAAGTGATAAAATTGGAGAAGTTGATCCTGAGTTAAGCTGGCTATTATCGATCGTCATACTCTGATCAGTATTCTGATTCAACTCATCCTGTTTTTCAGCGGATGGCTTTTGTTTGGGCCCGCGTTTAGTACCGTAGACATCGATGATAGAGAAGGGATTTGGCGAGCCATCAGCGTTCAATACCATCGCTGGTTGATGGTCTTTTTTTCGTAGATGCTTCTTTAGTGCATTGCAAAACTTGGTTTTGTACGTGCAGTTCGCGCATCTATATGGATAAATATTCGAATGTTTTTTTAGATGGCTAGTTAGCATTGATTTGCTTACGCATGTATAGGAACACTTTTTGCACTTGAACGGCTTGGAGCCGTCGTGAACACTAAGCCAGTGGTGATTCATATGATGTTTATATTTGGTAACGAAAGAGCATTCAGAACAGGTAAAGCCTTTGATGTGACAACGCATATGTTCCCAATATTCTATTTTCGTGGTTGCTACGAAGTTACATTGTTTGCAAATTTTACCTTCTCGAAAACCTTTATATTGTCTCTGCTTTACATTGCTTTGCGGAGTCACGGGAAAAAGTTTAGATTTGTCAATCTCTTCTGTCTCATGTGCGGTATATTCTTCTAATGTAGGAAAAGAACAATTGGTTTTGCCTTGAAGAAATTTGAAGACTGGCAATTGCGCGAGGATGGCTTTAAAATTTGGATTGTTGCATTTCGATGTGCAATGGCTGATTAAATGCTCGGTAAATTTTGATCTGAAAACATGCAATTTAACGAATATTTTCTTTTGAATTTTCTTGAAACTGATAGCAGATTCATTGATAGTTGAATATATTAATGTACATACACACACGCACACTATATACAGGTATGTGTGCATATGTACCAATATACTTTAAAGCCCATTATATATATATATATATAAATTCTTGTCAACTACTCTTTTATCATCAATTCTAGTCTATATAAATACTGTAATATTACACTATATCAAATCAGGAAAGCGCATCTCATATATAGGAATGCATGCCAGCTCCGTAAATTGTAGAATTATAATTTAACACAAACTACATAGCGACGTATGTAAAAATCATTCAATGTACAGATTCTGTTCTGCAAAATTCTGCGTGACAGAAATAAGCGTGTTCCCACAGTGGAGCGGATCAGCTAACTATTAACATGCGTGTTCTCACCGCTGTGCTCGGTGAATATGTTAGAGCCTATGAGGCGCGTATCCTTCAGGTTCCTGGTTTGCTGCTTGCGCGTTTGTCGCACGGTGGACCCAGCGGGGATCACCCTGTCCTTGGTCTGCTGGGCCCCCATAGTCTGTTGCCCACCGGATTACTGTACCATGCCCCCTCGCCTGTATCCCTCGCCGACCCCGGCTGCGTACGGGACGGGGCGACCAGATCTGCTGCTCTCCTGCTCGCCGCCACCCTCGCGCACACTTCACTTCCGGCACTCGGAAGGCACCGCCGGCGAGGCTTCTGACATCGCGATTGTCGTCCGCGTATCTCGTCGTTCGCGGGAGACACCGCGAACGTGTCGGTCCACCCAGCCTCTCGAAGCGCAGATCACAGTGCGGTCAGGCCTAATCACATTTTTACATGTCAATTATCCGCTCTCTGTCTCTCTCGCTGCCCCTCGCCATATTTGACAGCTTTTGACGTCGATTATTTAGTTTGTCGATGCATTGCTGTGCGGCAGCACGACGCTGGGCGGGTTCTCATGCTTGTGGAAAAATCCTCGCCTTTTCGTCTTTTTATTCTGTTTATTTATCTATTATACATATATTTTTTTGACATTTATATATATATATATATATATGTCAAATTTAATTAAATGTATAAATGACCTAAAAATACGATCTATGTATATACTGTGCTATAATAATTTAATGACAGTGCACCTGCTTGATGTAGTAAAGGCACACATCGGACATTGCAGGGTGTTCTGTGCGAGATTGGTATCCTCACTGGACGGTTTTATAATGTTTGACATAATGTCCATCGATTGATTCACTTGATATTTGTTCATGTCTTGATGTTGCGTAACTTCCTCGGGTAAGTTGGAATTTTCGTAAACGAGTTGCAGGCTATTTTTGGAAATAGGTGACAAGTTATAATTCATCGTAAGAAACAATCATTTGCTTCTCGATCAGTTGGACTTGTCGATCTAATGATGGAACAAAACATCGGAATCGAAAGAATTATAACTTTTTTCCAGCTCTTCTTTCTGTAAAAAATAATTGATTCTATTTTATAAAAGGATAAACGCAAGTGCTAAGATCAAAAGATTTTAAGAATTTGTGGAATAATTAAATTTTTTTTTTTTTATTGTTATATTCTTTTATCTATCTAATGTACGAGCTTATTAAGCTTATCTTTTTCTAAGAATATGTTTCTGAATAACGAATTTTTATAATATTATATATAATATTATGTGATTTTTTTGTACAATATTTTTTACACAAATTGCAATTGTTATAAAATTGTATATTGCGTAAGCAGCAGCTACAGTAAGCAGCTAAACTTTAATTAGTGAGAGCTTTGCGCAATTACTCACCACAATTTTATTACCCCAGAGCGTGATTTCTGAATGACGGGGATGTTATTGTTCCTTGACAATAGGGTCTGTTGCTAATTCGATGCGTATAAAACTTGTTGTATTTTGATTTCCCTTCATCTCGCCATTATCTCTAAAACATAAAATCGATAGTTAGAAATTTGTGATAATATTACACGAAACAGATATTTATTTTATTTTATTTAAAATAAGCCATACAGTTTAAATGCAAAAACTGAATTCTCTTTCTCGTAAAAATAATAGATATAAGTATTATTGCGAGATAATAAGTCAGATCGCCTGTAAGTCCATTTGTGATTTCATTGTGATTGATCAAAAACGCTTTATTTCATCTATAAATGTTACTATTTACTGAAAAATATATTCCTTTTCTGTTTATATAAGAAAGAAAAAAAATATTTAAAACATGTTAAAAAAAGCTCTTTGAATTTATAATCAGTAACAGTTCAATCAGTAACAGACGAACTTCTTTCAAATTATTTGATACTTGTTGATTTAATAGCCATTTTCTTATTCTGACATTACAAATTTCGAATGAACAGCACTGTTTTCTACCGAAGGTCAAATGGACGTAGTATTTCGAAATTCCAAGATATACATCAAGATCATAACAACATAGAAAATATACGAATAAATGGAAATTTTGATTGACAAATGTATATAACACAGAAAGAAAGAGAGAAAGAGAGAGAGAGAGAGAGAGAACAGATTATGCATTATAAAAAATATTGCTAATAAGTTAAATATATTAATTTATGTTAAATATTAATGTGACGTTTGTCACCTAGCTTCTGTCACTTGATATAAAAGTAAATACAAAGAAATTTATAAATAGAAGCACAAAAGAGAATAATACTATAAGAGAAAAAGCAAGACGAACGAGAATCGAGAATGAGTTTTTTAATAATAATTGTTTTTTATTTCTTTTATCGGGAAATTTTTTAGAGAAGTTAGAATTCATGCGTTTCTGCGATAATAAGAATGATACAGTTCTCCTTATTGATTAGGCAAATCACTCTTATTCTTTGATTCTGGTTTGTTTTTGCTCCAATCAATAAAGAAAATTGCAAGAATTTATTTTTACGGCCTGTATTTTACACTATTTAAATAATTATTATGTGCACGTCATCCATGTTAAAACAAAATATCATTTACGATTAAATTGGCTAATTATATATTTTTTAAAAAACTTATTGCATTACTTTGATACGCGTTTGTAAATTATTTATAAGATAATTATATATTTTATGTTTTTTCTTAATTTATATCTTTTTAAGTTTATATTTTTTTGAAGCTTTAATGAAGCTTTAATAAAGCAATTTGTTGTCATTAGATAAATTGAAAAAAATATTAAAATTTAATAAAATTTTTTTTTTTTAGGTCTTTCTTTCAAATTTTTGTAAAATTATTTTAAATCGACAGTTTTCTCGACGTACGCTAGCCCACTAAGAATTTCAATGTTTAAGAATCAAAACAGCGTGTTTTAAAGAAAGTTTAAACTAAAAAAAGATATAAAATTACAATCACATTACAAACACAGCTTCGAAAACAAAATTCCTTATCCTTGTTCTTATAAGGAGTTATTCCAAATTTGAAAGGAATACTATCTTTTTTTTCACGTGTGTTAAAAGGATTCTTATATAAATAGCTCACACACACATAGAAATAATATTCGACAAAATTTACAACTAACTTACAATAGTAAACTAATCGATGCATGCAATTATAATATCTATCAATCAAATTACTTGAGTAGACAATTTTAAGAGATACTCAAATAGAATTAATATGGCATAGCTATAAACCAATTAGTTTTAGATATTCTGTTGATTGAGTTTAATAACAAAACTGTATTGTTTTCGAATTTTGCTTTACGACTTATATTAAGTTGCCAATAATTCAATCATTTAAAGTATTTATTTAATCAAACCTGATGCATCCGAATCTTCAGTTTTATCGTTCTTCAATTTTGTAATTACAGATTTTCTTTTATAGGAGATATATATATAAGAAGTATTTATTCTTTCTCTCTTTCTCACACACAGGGTGCTCACAAAAAAGTGTCAACGGATCACTCAGCACTGTTTTTTTTTAAAGCCACGATATGTTATTACGTATTGTCCTTATATTGTCTGCCGATTATGAACGCAAGTTTCGAATATCTGAGAGAACGACAAGTAAGGTCAGGATGAAGTAACGACGACATTCTAAGTCCCAAAATGAAATAGCCGCATATTTCTGGATTCTGTCGAAGGGGCAGTTATTTTCCCTCTCTAGCCCGTCTGCCCAATCAGAGTTATTCGGATTTATAGACGATTTAGCAGACTCTGTTCCCTTTCTCCCACCTCTTTTGCGACACATGATTGTGACTATTGCGAATTTTCTGTATCAAAGAGTTGCTCTCCCTTTCCTGCTTAAACAACACGAATCTGTTATATTTCTGTCATTTCCAACAGAAATTGCTGTTATTTATACGTCATGCATCAATTATGCGTCAAACTTTTTTTAAACGTAAAAAGTATGACTCTTATCATGATTTTTCTTCAATTTTACTTTGTACGTTTATTATTTAATAGTTTTTTATGTCAAATTTTTATAGTGCAAATTAAATTTCTGATGCAAAATATATACAATATTAAAATTTTCGGAATATAACATTTATTACGTTTTACTCAAATTTGCTTCATTAATAGTCTGCGTTATGTATATCAAATCGGTGGCACTGTATAAAAAATGTTTTCTAAAAAGATTCGTTTTTTACTGTCTTTTCAAAACGAACTTTATATTTCATAACGGATATATGGATTGCAATCGGTAACCGCTTCCTTCATGACAAAGATACGTTGCTCTACGCGTACATATTTACCCCTTTCCTAGATTGTGGAAAAATATCCTTTTCTGCAAAACTAGAATCTCATGTGGGAGTACGAAAGAGGTAAAGCGCAGCTGTTCAAACGAGGGATACCCCATTCAGGCTCAGGTATAAATATGCGTGAGACACATTTTCTCGCGTGACAACACGTGCTCAAGATACACCGCGCGTACGCAAATGAATAACAATATGAAAACAATAATAATAAAGTCCATTATCGCAAACGAATAACAATAATAATATAGCTATTTTAATAATATTTTTATATTTCTTGCGACATATTTAATTTTCTCGTCAAAGAGAAATAATAAATACAATTTTCACTCATTGAATGTTTTTTATCATGCAAACAAAAATACAAACTAACAGCATATATATAATTAGCATAAATGCAAAGAGGGAGGAAGAAAAAGGACAGGAATTGAATTCTAATTATAAATAGTCATTTGTGAATTTGTGATCTGATTCGTGATTCCAACGAAAAATTCGTAAGTTTATAGAAATTTTTCTTTTCTCTTTACTACTGTTTTTTTTTTCTCTAAATAGTACAGTACAGTACTTTTATTATTTTTAATTATTACAAACATTTCATGTTAATTTTATTCAAAAATAAAACAATTATTTTTTATTGGAGTTTTATTTATCTTTATCATAACATTGATTATAATATAGGCAAGGATAAATAATTATGGTAATTATGATTAGATTAAATATTGGCTGTTAGAATCAGCTGTTAAACGTATGATAAGCATTAAAATATGATAAAAAATGATTTCGGATGTTACACGCAAATGATTTAGAATGAGATGACAAAATTTTTGTATGCGTGAGTTAGAAAATGAAAAAAAAACATCGAAAAATTGTCATTTTTCGCGGGATAGATTATGATATCTTGGAATTGACTGCACCAATTTTTTCTCGAACTGCTCGCAAATGAAAGCTATTTACATAAGTAACTTATGCTTTTTTTAACTCTTTATAAGAAAAGTGCCGTTAGATTTTTGATCACCGGCTTTCGTTCCCGAGATATATTAATTGAAAACACGCTCATCACCCGAATATTCCGAATAAGCTACTAGGTAGCGTCACGACCCCTGTACATAGGCAACAACCTGATTGTTGACAAACCAGATTTATTTTTATGTACTTGACATCGCGACTCTACACCGTGTCGCTTGATATCTCAAATATGAAGCATTATAACTATAGGAAAACAAAAAATCGACATGGAAATTTATCGTAAACTGCCATATACATAAGCTGAATATACCGGCAGTGCGATATGTCTTGGCCGAATAGAAATGAAGATGAAGAACGGCAGTACCTTGAGATCTTACATCGTCAGTTAGTGATCAACCGTTATGAAGGAAGGATGTGGTAGTGCTGGACTTGCTTCTACCTCGCTTCGCGTTACCTCTTTACATTATTTTGTATCGGTCTCGGAAGAAACATTATGTGTATAAATACTTCATGTTCGTCGACTATCTCAGCGAGCAAAAAAATTATACATACTTGGGTCAGTAACTCGTTTCTTTGAATAAAATAAAATATATATATAACGTGATTTTGACAGACAATAACACTTTGTTATAGGCTTTCCTATAGACTCGAATACGACAGCAGTAACTAAAAGAACGAAGTTGAATGAATATTTTTCAACTTGAAAAATATATTTCATGTTACTCCATAATCGTTTAACGGTATTTCTATGGACATCAAGTATTTCTATGGACATCAAGAATTTCTCCGCGACACTGAGGAATATCTTGCATGTGATTATTTTTCGTCTACGAATTTATTCATGTGATCAAGAATATCAACAATATCAAGACTGCAGAGAAGGATCTTAACTGAAAACGTGTTGACAATCGATGAGTGTACAGACATAAAATAATGAAAATGCGAACGATACTTTGATTCAGCCTCCGCGGAATATCATTACGATGCAACATTATCTCAAGAAATATTGTAAAAATTAATCAAAATCTGATAAAGGACAACGAATGTGTGGGAATAACTCGATAAGCGTTCAAGAATTCAGAAAATGACTTCTATGTGTAGCAGTAGAAAAAGCCATGCCGTGATGAATACCGACGGTTATTTTCATAGACCTAGCCCTTACGCTTATCAAGTAAGTCTTGAATTTATTATATATTAATTAAAAAATACAATATGACAAAATTATTTAATTTAAAATTTCGCCAACAATGATGATAACGGGAAGAATATATTTTATTCTATTATTTAAAATAATTTTGAAAGCGAAAAAATTTAAATAAAAAAATTATATTAAATTTTAATAGAAATTTTATGGATATAATAAATAAGAAATTTTTACTTTTTATATGATATTTCTTTAGATATTCTTCTCAAAACAAACATATTATGTATTACTAGCGATAAGACATTTGGCTGTGACGTGTAAATTCCTTCGTTTATTTTATCTTACAATCTTTCGAATTATTCAGCAATTAAGATTTCCATTTTAATAAGTTTTTTTCTTTTTGTGTTAAAATTCACATTTCTCACCGGCGCAGTGCCCTAGGCTAATTAGATGGTTTAGTCTGATTGTCGACACATTGTCCGCAATTCGCGTACAATGGTACCGTTATCAAGTCAACAACGGTGAACGATAATTGCGACGATAGTAATGCATTTACTCATGGTAAATTATATTATATGCAATAAGATCTCTAAATGAGATGCACTCTTCTAACTAAGGAACAAGTCTGAACTTGAGACATGCGAAAAAGTAACGTACAACATATCATGAAGAACGAATTACACATATTAATATATACGTAATACAACATCTTTTATGCTAATAATCCCGGATGATATTTGAATTATTGATCGTGTATGCTCGGATCGTCTTAGAACGTCAGCCGAATGATAATTAAAATTTTTACTGAGCTACGAAATGAGATACGATAAAATAGGAATATGATCACAGTGGATAATATCTTTCTTATTTACCCACAATCACTACAATACCTGATAGTTAAGATCAAAGTACCTAGAATATAAATGCACAGTTAAACATAGAATGTGTCCTACCACAAACAAAAAATAATATTTAATAGCATCTTTGATACAAATTAATTATGATTTGAACGATCTAAATCTTAAAGTTGCAATAACATCTATAATATATATATATAATATAAATATTTTACGAAAATTATAATCATACTGACAGTGAATTAGATATTAAAATCTATATCAATTGATTCGTTTCAATTGCGATTTCATTTAAATTTTAATAAATACTTGTTATATATAATTAAAACTTTAAAAAATTGCCAAGAAATTGATTAACTAAAAAACTATCTTGTCATTAGAATTGTTCTTAAAATGATTCAATCTGGAAAATAATTTCCATTTTGCACGAGAGAAATAAATCGATATTATATTTTTTTTAAATATTTAAATGTGTCAATCATGATAAATGATCGTAATTATTTGTCATATTTAAATAAAATTATATTTTATGTGTGTGTGATATTGTTTTACATAGATCACGTAATATTACATTCCAATGCTGGGTAAATATTAATTATAACCATCTACCTGTAGATGGTCCAAGGGACCATTGACGCGTTTCTCTAGAAACCTTTCATTAAACCAGACAAAGATGAAAGTTGCGGTAATGTCCTTGAAGGATCTTTGCACTCAGCAAAATTGTTCGTACTCGTATCTTCTTTTCTTTTTACCGCCTCTTTGAAGGCCGCACATATACTCCGCCCAGGTCATGATATGCATACAAATAAAATTGCTTACAGGAAGCACATTTCTCAAATTATTATCTACAAATATCGAAATTTCTTAATGTATCTTTAAATATTAATTTTCCAATTGCGTTATGTTATTAGCCTATGCAGATATTTTTGCAATGCATTTCTATTTAGTTGAAACCGTAGCAATATATCCAGGCAAGTTTGTTCTTTTTTTAGTTTTCCTATTAATGTGATCTTTAGCAAGCGAATAATAATCATGTCTGAAATGTCGTTATAATCTATGAATTTTTAATAAGACGGCGGAATTAGTCTTTTCAAGAACCATATAGCTGTTACCACGCTTTATGATGTACATAATTGGATATGCTCGGCAACGCCACTTAAGTGCAGCCGAGAATTATTCTTATATAGTCCGCATCTCCATTAAAAATATTCAAGCAACGATCAAATGATATCGATAAAAGATAGGGAAAACTAGTCTATGAAATGATGTATCATAAATATAATATAATTTAATATTCTATTGGATATTACAATTTTATATCATATAAGTAATTTACGTTATATTAGTTGCTATTATAAAAAACAGTGTTTACTGGGATATAAAATTATTAATAAATGTTCATAAAATCAACAATACTTTTAATCAAGTTATAAAAGGTAGAATTAAAATGCTTATTCATTAATTTAGCGTAATTAACAAGTAATATGCGTTCTCCAATATTTCTGAAATATTAATGTTTGTTGTAGTTACAATATTTTATTTCAATATTTCTGTTACGTTACATTGCAACTTGCAATATTGTAACGGTATTGCAATATATCTGAAAGATTCTGTGCTGTATAAATTCGCGTCTTCTTCAGGCAGGCAAAATATCTCGAATACACCGATGAAATCGACCATGTCGGATGTAATATCTAGATTCGAAGCGCGAGCGATAAACCGTTAGAAATTTATAGCTTGTCATCATTTTATGGAAAGTACCGCACGATTTTTGTTTTTTTATTCTTTTTCTTATATATAGTTGTGCGTGTACTACATCACACTATACGGTGTTGTTCAAAATTATAAGGATAAGGATAAGAAAAGAACAGACATTGCAACCGTTATTGTATTATATTAGCGGCGATTGTGTGTATAATCGCTTCAGAAAAATATGTTTGAATATTTATTAATTGCTTATATAAACGAGAGTTTATAGTGAATTGCTTATATAAACGAGAGTTTACTAGTGAATATATGCCAAATAAAAATAAAATATTTTATTGTAAATATCTAATGATTCTCACATTACAGAACGACTATTATTTGAGACCAAGATCTGCCTGGTCCAAGGTATCGATAGCACGGGCGAATAGTAACGCTACATGGAGATTCAGTAGTGCCATGTTAATCATATCCTCTATATTAGTGTTGATCGCTGTACTAGCAATTGCTGGATTAGCTTTATGGATGGGTGGTAAATTAAATATTTATTATAAATTTACTCTTCCTTTCTTCTTTGTTTTTTTCTTTTTTTTGTTTTATTTTATAATAAATTATATCCGAACTATTAATTATCATTAATTAAATATTTAATATTACAGCTTTTCGAACAGATTCTAAAAATGGTGAGTTTTTTATATTTGAGTTTTTATAACGATATAATAAGTCACTTAATACTTTCATATCTCACGTTATTTGATTACAGCTATTGCCGAATTTTCGTGTAGCTTCAGAATAATTAGAGGCGAAAAGTACAATCCCATGTTAAAGCTGAGCACAAGCATGGTTTTCCGAGAAAAAGAGCGCAAATTTAAAAACATTGTAAGTGAAATATTCTAGAATTGTTTTAGATTAAATACGAAAAAAAGGTGAATTTCTTAAAAATACAATTTTTATCTTTTTTAGTTTGAGCTTCTATTTAGAAGAAGCGTATTGGGTTCAGCCTACAAGCGAACAACGATAGAGAAATTTGAGAATGGAGGCTTGAAACTTTTCTTCAGATTGTATCTTGATCGAAAAAAGATACCACGTTCAATCATAAACATTGAACACACTATTGAGGATATTATCGTCAAAGAAACATATTCAGTGTCATCTTTGTTCAAAGATATGGAGTTAGATCTCACGACCGTGTCGGTGAAAAGTAAGTAATGATCATCTAAATCGAATGGTAAATTGCTAAGCTATTGTAATGCATTTAAATAAGTATTATTAGATATTGTTTTTAATGGAAATTCTTTGGAAAGAATAAGTATTACTAGACACTGCTTGACATTAGTGAATATTATAGACATTGCTTAGAAATTTTAGTGAACATTACATTAAACATTTCATAAAAAATAATTCAGCATTACTACGCATTTTTCTTATTTTTTTGTTATATCAAACTTTTTTTAACTCTTATTTTTTCTACCTACATTTTTCGCCTATTCTTGCCTTACACGTTATATTCACACAACAGTGTTTCATTCTCTAATCTTTCTATTATATTTTTTTAAATAAAATTTTCTCTAACATGTTTACTTTTTTATAAAAATTTCAGGAATAAATAAGGAAGAAAGTGAGAAGATAGGTATCATAAATCAGAAACAGGAACAGCAAAAACACGCTATGATTACTAAAAACAATCTACTACGACCAAACAGAAACAGCAGTTTAATTACAAGTTCAAAGCCGAAAACACATACTGTAAGACCAACTACGGTCGATTCTAATGAACCCGATATAGATTTTAACAATATCCCAACTATTAAAGGTACTTATAGAGCAACGAAAGTTAATATTACTGCTTATAATTCAACTAAAAGAACATCTGAGTCAATACTAGATATCAAAGATACTACTAGGAAAATGCTTTCCCATGAACAAATCACAAGGTCGAACAAAACATCCAATTTTGTAAAATATTCGTCGACGGACAAACCTTCTACAGCTTTTACAAAATCCATGACAGTCATGCTCAATGAGGAGAAATTAAACGAAAAACGGGAAGATGAAATAAAAACGTCGTTAAGGATCACAACTACTCAAAGCAATTTGGACATTTTCAAAGATTTTCATAATCCTGATTTGGAAACTTCACCATGGAAACCAATCGTACCATATATCAATACAGAAGTTAAGTTGCTATCTGACGTTGATATCAAAGAAACTAATCGTACTGAATTGAGCACACAGAAAATTGTTTTATTAGCAAGCGATCCTCGCAATAATATAAAACAGCTCGACAATAAGACCAGTACGACACCTTCGGCAATATTAGGATTACCGGAATCTATTAATTTTCATGACATTAGTACCATCGGCACAGACATCACCGGCTTTCCACGAGACAGAATTGTTCCAGATTTGACAATGTCTAAACCAGACGATAATGAAAAACCGGACATCGAAGTAGCCGGACAGCTGCCTTCGGAAACATATAATATCAGGTTAAAAGTCTCATCAGAATACAATGGCAACGACAAAAAAGCTTCCAGTACAAAGATATCGGAAAGTCTGATAACTCGCAATGTCTCCGAAAACATTTCAATAAAAGACGATGCTTTATTTCAAAAAAAGCATATAGATTCAAACTTTACTGCAAATATGGAAGAGAAATTTGATAATTTATCGACGATAGAACCTGACAATAATGAATCACACCATAGCGAAAAAAATTCGAGTGAATCACCTACACGCGGTATTGGCGTAGCGGAGCCTTTATCGGACACAGAAGTTGAACTAGAAATAAAAAATCGAGACAGTAGTATCTTGACATTAAGCGAAAATGGAAAATATACATTGCGGGACAGAAACGTCGATGTTAATTCGCATCAACCAGTTTATACTAGTTATAATACTCCTAATCTGAATGGAGGTGGTTTTAGGTCAAGCTTAATCGAGAATTTGGCAACTACAAAACCTTTCAGACACACAATACCCGTTGATAAAATCACGCCCGCTGTAAATTATAATGATAACATTTCTCTTCATTACTCGGACGATTTATTAATTTCAAATGACGAGATCGTTGCGGAATCAAATGTGTCCCAAGATAAAATTGTGACACCATTGCTACCGGATTCAGAAGAAATTATAAAAGTAGGAACATTTGTTACAGAGCACGACGATACTATAGACCAGCTATCAAATTACGAACAAATTATGTCGACGGAGGCAAATATCGTACAAAACAATGAACGCGATGATGAGTTGTCGCATTTTAACACTACAGAGAGCTATTCAGATCCTATCAGAAAATTTGTCGCTGAAAATTCAGGCGATAAAAAAACCGTATCGAGGAATTCAACGTTTATTGAAATTGACATTGTTGAGCCCGATCAATCAAAAGAAAATACGGAGTCGTACGCGAATGGTGCCACGACCAATAATGATGAACTAAAGAAAGTTTATAACGATACTTTAAAAGCTTACGTCGTAAAAAGTTTCGTCACCCTGGCACCTGCCAATAAAAACACAGAAATTGATAAATCAATGCAATCGAGATTAAAGATCGACTCTACCGCTGAGGAAACGACTCCTTTGGAGCTATTCGGAATACGCAATTATACGCATGAGAGAGATATAATGAATACCAAATCCGCTGTTTCCGAACATTTTTCTTCGCAGGAGAACCAGCCGGATTCTATGAGATCTAACGAGAAGGAATCTTCAAGGCAAAAGAACACTATAATCGAACAAATAGTCGAAATTGTGACTTCTATCAGTACCAGAGTTTCGACAAATATCAAAAGTAATCCAATGGTCTCGAAATTCATTGCCACAAATTCTACTAATCCAATTATCCGTTCGGAGAAAATTTCAGCATCAAATAATGAAGCAGATAAATTATTTGGACTCACTACCAATACAACAGAAAAAGTACTCTCGTTAATTCAAGAACGACCATCTTTATCTTCGAAGAACTTGAGGACAATGCAAATATCAGATAAAAAAACATCTTCTGAAGAAAATCAAATTTTATTAGAGAAGCTTAAGCAACTCGCCGAAATTAGGACGGACGATGATTTTATGCAAATTATGAGGAACAACTCAAATTCTAACGTAATGTTAAAACTTCAAGATTTTAATGCATCGTCAGTGAATATTGATGAGTTAAAAAAGATCGCCAACGTTATGACTGGAAACAAAACTTTAAAAAATGTAAATTTAGAATTCACATTGAGTCGCGATGGTGTAGAAATATTTACAAAAGTACTAAATAAGGTGGAAGACCAAACAGACGAGACGCTTACAACGATCCAACCAAATTTCAGCAAGACTTCTCCAAATAATAATTATGTAAGAACGCGCTCAAATGCATAAATGAATAGATTAATGGTAAGAGATTTTAAAAGGTACAGAGTTTCTAGTTAAGTCTATATCATATTTTTAATTTTCATAATCATATTTTTTTCAGTGAAAAAAATGTTAAGTCAGAATTGTATAAAAGCAGAAGCAGAAGAGCATAATATTATTAATAACAATTCGGATTAAGTGGCAGCTTTAAGGAGCGAGCTAAATACTTCCCGGAAAGAAATATATTTTTTAAGGATTATATTATATCTTAACTATAGGGGCAATTTTATTGACAGATTGATAGACAAAATGACTATGTAAATAGCATACAGGATTTTTTGATGGTTTTGACATGACGCACAGAAATTTGAAATTATGTACAGCTGATGATAACAATAGATTTAAGAATTATTTATATGGAAATATCATCAATGATTATTATTTAATAACCCATGTTATTAATAAATTTGCACACAGTTTAGTAATAAATTGTTACTTTTCATAGATTGCGTGATTAAAATTTAAAAAAATTTGCATCATCGACAAGATAGTTATAATACAATAATTTGATTGTGCAAAAATTGCGCACTGAATTTTCAATCGTAAAACGGAAAGAATCGACTACTCCGTAATTTCTAATGGCTTTTGCGCGGTAATAGAATAAAATGCGATAGCCAATTAGCTTCCTGCTCTTCTAGGGATAATAGATTTATACGGTAAACGATTGGTTACCGCGTGCAACATATTTTCGCTTCTTGCATTATTATATGATTCATGTTCAAAAAGGCGTGCAACATGCTTGTCAAATAGAAAAAAGAGAAATGGCGGACGAGAACGAGGATCAGTGGTTGTATGGGGATTCCACCGACGGAAAGGAATATTCCAATATACAATCGGAGATTGAACAAAATGATTCGACAAAAACTCAAGAGAAATCTCAAATTCAAGAAGATTGTAAAGTGGAGGGAATTAATGAAATGTCATCCGACGTACGCGCGTGACATAACCTCTTGTTCACTATATACAATTTAATTTTTCTCGTAAACTGCATATATTTTATATATAGAAAGACATTTTAATTATATTTATTTTAATTATGAAGACATAATATCTATTTTTTATAATCTTTATAATCTGCACACTTACTTCAATAAAGTAATATAACTCTATGTATAATATTTAATATAGTAAACACAATTATATGTGTTCTTTCTCTTTAATTTTTTTCATATATTAGTCCCCTTTGTATTTACTTTGATATTGTCTTTACCATATTTACATATATTTATTTTTATAGATACAGGAGGGTATTGGTTCCCCTGTTGATGGCGGTGAAGAATCTTCTTCATTGAATAATGTACAGGAAGAGAATAATATGGATACAAATAAGAATGGGACTAGAGAAGCTTCTAGCCAAGAGGACGGCGAAGCGGCCACCGACTCCGACTCTGATGATGATGTACATGTCGTAATTGGCGATATCAAATCGACACCGGCATATGGTAGCTTAAATATCAAAAGAGGAGGATTACTTACCAATGCATCTGGTGTACCAGATAAATTGAGCAAACAGCCGGGAAAGTTCAGTATAGATGAGTTTGAGACTATTGGAGTTATTAATGGGATACCAGCTCATGAATATAATTTAGATCAATTAGAAGATAAACCATGGAGACAACCTGGTGCAGATATCACAGATTACTTCAACTATGGCTTTAATGAGGAGACTTGGAGGGCGTATTGCGAACGTCAAAAACGGATGCGAAGCGAGTCAGGAGTGGGATTGATCTTGAATGCGGGAGGTGGCGGTGGTAATCCTGGCAGTATGAGAATACCTCAAGTGGCGATAACCAATGATAATAGTAAATATTCTGGTATTATGGGTCCTAAGAGGGCAGGCCCACCGCCAGGGCGAAAGATGGCAGGGACTATAGACGTTATTGGAAGTTCTGGTTTAGCTTCCCGAAGGAATCTGGATAAATCCCCGCCGAAAGGAAATGTTATACAAGTCATGACCGCCGATAGGAGAGAATATTCTAGAAAACCAGGTTTTCCCGACATGAGCGTACCACCTCCTGGAGCAGGAAT